ATCGTCAAACAAAATAAAGTTTGATAAAAAAAAAAACCTTGCTGCTAGCAATTTTTGTATCTGATATTTCACACATTTTTTGCTGTAAAATTTTCAAGATATTATTACCGTCTCAGTTTTTTAAATAATATAACTCTCATCGTCATGACCGAACAGTTACAAATTAAATTTTTTTTGCATCCGATAAGAGAATCGGGTTCTAACATTTCGATTAAGTTCCCATTAGAAACTATAGTTTTATTAACTGGTAAAATTAGATTGTACTGTTTTACAAACTATAAATCAAAGAAAAAGCTTCCATCCGAATAAACAGAACATTTTATAACCACAAAATCATTTTTCAAAACAGAAGTATAAATGCGATGTGATGCTGCCACATTGTTTTACGGTAAGCAGTCACAATACAGCAGGCTGAGAGTAGAATATACGTGTACCCTAAAATGTTTGTTTAAAAACGTTACATTGCTGCTATTTTCATGTGAAATAGGATTACCGGATGAAAAGAGTCCCACATTTACTGCAATGCATTTGTAACCTGATGTTTGTAGTGCTTGATTTGAAAAATAGACTGTAAAGAAGACGTCAACAAATTTATTTTTGTATCGGATTTACATCACATATATGCTACGTAAAGATGTTGTGGTTGGATAAAGATCTGGCAGTTAGGAGACCGATTCATGTCCAGATTATTCTCCGAACAGAGGTGAGTTTGTTTACTTCGTTAAGTTAACATTTAAACCACACTTGTATATACGGTAGATATATATATATATATATATATATATATATATATATATATATATATATATATATATATGTGTGTGTGTGTGTGTGTGTGTGTGTGTTACTGATATGCGCACACCACCAACCCAACCTGCTATCATCTTAGTTTTATTCGTTATTCGTTTTATTCGTTATTGTCATTCTTGTCTTGTTTTGTGCCATTTTTCTTATGATGATATTGTTAAACATGACATAATGAACCTCTGTGGGAGTAGCATATCCATATTGAGACAGCTGATATGATATTTCCTCAATTTCCATTTGCGAGTCGAGTTAAAAAATGGCCGCCAAAAAATGTTCATTCAGATCAAAACATTCCAGAAGGCGGGGTTAAAAAAGTTTTCCCACGGTCGCAGCCAATCATTAAAGACATTAATGCACAATAATTTCATGATCTCATTTGGACCAATCAGAATCACATAAAGTGATATGCTCACATGTTATAATATCAAAAATATGAACCTGCACGCACTGTACGAAAACAATACCGACTATGTGATAATTTATTATAAGTCACTGTTGTTATCTTACAAGACGAGTTCTTGTTTTCAAATTTTGTCTCTGTTTGTTTAGAATTGACCTGGGCATCGCAAATTTGTCCTGCGAAAGTAAATATTAAAGTTGTCGACCATATCCTCTTAATGGGAACGCCATGTCGAATAGTAATCTAACAAAGGGAAGTTGATGTGAGTCGTATTTTTCAGATTCTATGCTGTCAAAATCTCAAAATCTATTGGGGAAAACCTAGGGACGGCTGATTACGATTCGTCAGTTTAATTTTAAGGCGTACACCTTGGAAGTAATGCTGAATTTAAAGTAACGACTTAAGGGGCATTTCCTCGGTCCGAGATTTTCCTGCAAGAAGAGCAATACTCGACTGATTCTGGGGAAAAACTAAAGAGTAGTTATTTCCTCGTTAAGACAAGTAAGGAGACCAGGTGGATGTCTTCTAGGCAAAGACAGGGTTTTAGCGATAGGACGCACTTTTTCTTGGAAAGAACAACATGAAGGGAAACAACTCGCTTTTTTACAAGATCTGATACAGCAACATGAACGTATCTTGTTTTTATTTTATTTGCTACCATGTCGATGACGCATGTGATTTTACCTCTGGTTTGCTTGACGTAAAGAGCATCAACTGATGCACTTGCAACAGCAACTGCATTACTTGCCGCCACGAACATGTACGATTTGTTTGTCAGATCAAATGGAGATACTTGATAATATGTTGCTGTTATTTTACTTGATCCCATGTTTAGAGTGCATGTCATTGTATTGACCGATTTTGCTACTCGTACTGCGGTATAACTGGTTATCATATCATCTATTTAATTATTTTTCGTCAGATCTGATATTGTTGTTGGAACCGCAGTAAATGTTATCTTGTTGACATCAATGTCTACCGAACCTGACATTGATCCTTCAGCAAGCTTCAGATACGCCATTAATGATCCTTTCAGCTGATCATAAGGTAATGCATCTGATAATTCAGTTGGAGAAAGTCTGTTGCGGTCCTGTTATCTTACCACCGTCGATAAATGAAATAGTATCTGGTAAAAGATCACCAGATTTATTTATTTGTAAATTTGCAACATGTTTAGTTGATTATAACTTACCGACGGTGTGATATCAGCGTCGTTTAGCGGATATGATGTATTTATATTTATTTATTATTGCTCATGTCGATTTTGCTGGTCATGATGCCGACGACAAGTGAATATATTTCATATAACAGCTTGGGTTAGCTGATTATAACTAACGGCTTGTGTTTTATTGACGTTGACAGGAGGATATGTTGTTTCTAGATCTAGCACTAGTTCCCCTGACATGGTAAGGTACGGTTGCTGTTCATTATGTCCCCAGATTTGTTTAGATGATTTGTTAGATTTACTTCCGCTGTTGCTGAAGTTGTTTCACCGAATTAACCACTTACTAACTTACAAAAGTTTGCGTAGTAGCTCAATTTATTGTAATTATTGTCTAAAAAAATCTTGTGCACATGTTATATGATGAGAATAATAAACTTTGACACGGAACAAGAAATAAAAAGTAAACACAACTGCGAGTTATCGGATTGTCATTACCTGATAGTAAGACGTACTGGGGCTGGCAAATCAAACTTGCTAATGAACTTGCTTCTCAACAACATATTCAGCTACCATCGCGTGGATATTTATATGATCAATCTCCAACAGGTTAAATATGAGTAGTTGAATGACTACACCGAGAAACTAAAAAAATAAACTTGGTTCAAGCGAAGATTTTTTTGTCATAAGGACACCAGATGATCTTATTCATGTTGCCATTTAGACTCGGATGAACATAACATGTTTGATGACATCCCGTTGAGCAATATTGAGATGGATAGGATCAAATCTTACTTTTCATTGTAGAAAAATAGAAGATGTAATGGAATTAATCTTGCCAGGGGATTTTATAACGTTGATCGTTTGATCAGAAGAACTATGGGTTGTTATATATTTTTAACGGACCTAACGATATTGACATACAAAACATATCACATGATCAATTAGGTAATGTTTAAAGAGACAAATTTGTTGAGCTGTATCATGAGGTCGCTCATGGAAATCACTAAACCTGACAGAGATACCAAGCATATGTTTCGATGTGGAAATGATAGGTTCTTAGACTGTAAACAAAGTAAAATTTTAATGTATCACCAGAGGATCTAGACAAATTAAATGAAAAAGATTTGCGAGGACTACTTCAGGAAGGACAAGAGAAAATTACTGAGGATTTTCTTGGGCGAATTGGTGATCCTGATGCACGACAAGCTGAGATTTTAGAAAACATGAAAGAAAACGATTTGTTATTTAATAAACAAACGAGAGAACAACAAGAAAAACAAATGATCCTTGAGGATGTAAGAAAAAATAATAGAAAATTATAAAAACACCAATTACAAAAATTATATTTTTAAAATATTTTGAATTTGTGGTGAAAATAAAAATATAAAGTTTGAAAATACACAAAGAATAAGACTTTGGACGAAATATAAAGAAGATTTTTTTAAACAAAATTCGATTTTGTAATACAAAAAGTAAATGGACCTCGAAATGGTTTAGATTCCGCAACTTAAATTTATGATACTATTATGAAATCTATGAAATATTCTGACATGGTCTTATTAATAAGATATATCTGGAAGCATTTGAAAAATGTTTTACAGCTGACAAAACTTTACGACAAACAAATATAAGATGAAATAAAATGGAAAAGACGAGCAGGGGTGTATAAAATATGAAAAAAATGAATCGCATTCTGATTATGACACTTTTCGAGAAACGTCAGCTTCTGGATTAAAGATGTTTAACTCAGCAGCTGATATTATTGAATGACTGCTGCTGATAATCTCATTGAAAGAATATGGAAAAAACGGGCACAGAAATCGACAATGAAATAGTTGAAATACTGAAATACTTAATCATCTAAGAACAAACAGATCTTTAACGACCGAGTATCATGTATTACAAGGCGATCCAATTCTTATGTTTTTATATGCGAATAACAAATAAAAATGTTTATCACAGTTACTAGACATATCTCAGCGCACACTTTTCAGTTTTTTTATAATCCTGTTATCGAACTTGATCCTAGGGCCACAAAGCAGCATTAGATCGGATTAGTAACTGCTACTGTCTCGCACTCCACAGCTAATGTTAAAACTAAAGTCAACGATAATTTTACGTTCGGGTTTAAAAGCAATAGTGCCATCGACTGGAAATCCATGAAGATACCACAAAGCGCTTACAACGTTACCAATATCAATAAAACAATGCGAACGCGCGCGCGCGTGTGTGTGTGTGTGTGTGTGTGTGTGTGATTTATACCGTAGCTTTAACAATTTTAGTCTTATCGCTACGATGCAGTGTGGCAGCTGATAGTGATTTGTAGCAATGGGACATCATGCCGCAGACATGTAGCATGGTGTCCCACCCAATCACATTATCTGAAACCAGGCCAACCAGCCCTAACACTAACCTCTTAATGCTAACATTTTTCAGCCGTATCACTACGATGCATTGTGGCAGTTTATATTGATGTGTAACACAGGGGCATCATGCCACAGACATGTAGCATGGTGTCACCACCAAGTCACATTATCCTGAAACCAGGCCAACCAGTCCTAACACTAACCTTTAAATGTTGAGTGTCAAGCGAAGCAGCTGTTAGTACCATTTTTAAAGTCTTTGGTATGACTCGGTCGGGGTGCTAACCTTCGCTTCCCGCATCCGAGGCGGACGCCTTAACCACTAGGCCACCGGAGCAATAAAATATCTTATAATTGCTGGCAGTAATAGAATATCATCTGATAATGTCGAGATCATTCTAAATTATAACACGTCGCGAGCAAGAAAAATATTTAAAAACAAGTTGTTTGTAGATCTTGGCAGACAAAACACACTCGGATCATTGTTAGGATTTAATAAACAACAAATATGGATCCGATCAGCAAAGCGGATCCGTTTCGCAATAGAATATCACATGACAGTGAATCAGCCGTCAACATCACAGATGTAAACACAATCCTGATAAATTGTTCGATTGCAACTAGGACATACACAGCACGAGGTAGCCAAAATCAAACAATTTTTTGTTTAGTCCTGACGTTTCACCTGTTTTGCTAATACAAGTAAATCAGAGACATATAATATACTATCATAGTGATCTACCTCTCCGCAGTCGGTTAACCGACCAAAGTTAACTAATCAAAGCCAATTTTAGTAGACAATTTATATAACAAAATTAAACAATGAAGTATTTATCACAGAAACATAGTAGATCTTTTGAGAATATTTTCTCAAAGATAATCGAAAATATACCTGGGATAGCTCACAAAACTGCCTCAATCGCGTTAGATGCGTCAAAACCTTTTTCAACAAGAGATGCATATGCAGCAGGAATTTCTTTCGAACCAAAGATCGCTGATAAAACCAAACGTAGTGTGCCAAGTGGTTCGGATATAAAAAAATGTTATTTCTAAAATAACTCTATCATCGGAAATAGCACGTGCGATGATAACAACGACAAAACAACTTATTGTCTCCGGCCGGCTAAGACATTGTTCGAAAACTCGTAATATGAGCTAGACAAAACTTAATGTTGCTGCGTTCTAGGCGAACGTAAAATAATTGTGATTTTGTCTGACGATTACAATAAAACGGTCTATTAAAAATTTTCCTGACCTTGCCGATGAGATAACCGTCGACAAATCTGCAACTGAGTTTCAGTATATTCAATATCTTGACAATTATTCTAATGAGCCTAACAATATGGGCATCATAACATTAAATAATCGTGAAGGGGGTGTGTTTTGCTGCCTCACAAATCAGTACTCGAAGTACGAAGTAGTGTCGAAATAAATAATAATGCTGATTTTAATATTGGTGCTAAGTTGCGCTCGTAAACAATGATTGGAGTTTGTTAAAAAGCTCCAGATATCAACTCACCAATCAAACAATTGAAGATATTTATATGCACCTACCAGTTACAAGCACAATCTTAAACGTTGTATCGTTTAGCGGTGATTACTTGAGTTCCTTTGCAAAAAATATGATCTATTTTAAAGATACTGGAAACGGCAATATTATTTCAAATGAGGTTACTAATTTTACTGTGATTGATGCTGTTGATATTGCTACTGATTTAAATGCGGAAAGAAATTTTCATATTGCTAACTCTTGATCCCTTGGGATCCTTGCACTAGGCGTAGGTACAGATGCAGATGCTGAATTGACTTTACTGACAAAAGTTTACACGTTTCCTGATTTCCTTAGCCGGTCATGGAGCTGCAATGCTGACAATAGTGAAAACAAATTACGATGATGTTACCGTTGAGCAAAATTGTCGGTTTCTGTTGCGATTACAACAAAGTATTTCGTGGTATAAAACATACTCTTATACTTGAATGAGCTGATCAAAGCAATTGTTTGTTGAAAAACGTTGTTGGTGGTGCTAATAACACCTATGATAATAATATTAATTTGAATTTATGATTTCTAAGCTTGTGTTGTGGATATTAGAAATTCAGCTGATAACACATGGCAGATAGCAACAGCTACCAGCGAACAATTACCGCATCATGTATTTGTTTCAACGACAAGATCAACGTAATAATCAGCTGCAAAAAAGTTATGTTTTCAGTAACTTTGACGTAGATGAATATTTTATTTAAATCAATTCTAAGCCATATCCTGAACGAGCTATCTAATGTAATTTTGCTGTAAATGCTAAAACAATCTCTCGTGTTGATCTGTATTTGATGGAGGCGATGCAAAAGTATCAGTACGCTGACAGTGAATCTCAGATATCAGTAAAACAAATTGCGATTTCTTTACGAAATATTTCATTTTGATGTTCGTAAGCACAGCGAACGAGCTATTGGATGAACAGCTGACATCGAAGTAAAATGGATGTTAGAAGAGGCTTTAGAGGCTGAACCAGCTAATTAGCAATACGATTATGCTCTTGTATATAATAGATACATAACACTTGACGCCGTACGAGGTATGATGACAGTCCACACAAAAATTAAATCTGTTTTTGGGTTAGGTTTACTTTGAGTTAGTTTTTAAAATGAGTTGGCTTGTTTGGTGACTGCCTGTCACAGTTAGACTAGCATTGTAGATCAAATGCGTAATTTGGGCTGAAAATGAACAGCTGACTTGACTAACATATTTAAGTACGGCTGCTACAGAGGCAAATATCTAAGAATCGAGATGGTTGAGGGGTGATGAAAAGTATACTAATTTGTTACAATACTAGTGAACTTTGTTCATGCATAAGGCACATGCTGATTCTTTTAGCCGCCTTGTGGCATGAAGATATTCAATATAGCTCTTTGCTGTCCAAAATGAATGTAAAAATGAGGGGATGGTGGCAGTGTTGGTTCAGTATAAACGTCACCAGTTGTATAAGAAATTAACCTAATTACTGCAGTCAAAATTTCATATCCATGCTTTCTACAAAAGTCATTAGTTTGTTTTTATTTGTATCTACAGTGTAAAATTATTTTAATTTTTTTTTTTTTTGCAATAGGTAATTTTCGGATGAAAATTCAAACTGTCCAGTGAGACCTCAACAAATGTGTCATATTCCTCCAATTTTCATTCATCGCTGTACAGTTACTTTGCTATTTTCATGATCTTTCATTTTAACGGCTGGTGATTCTATGTGGGTGTTATTTTAATCTAGAGATCTATTTTAGTAACAAAAGCATGGAGATACGTTTGTGTGAATGATACGTTTCTCCGCCTAAGAAAATCGCGGAAGAGCTAAAGCGATATGGGGAGTCAACTCTGTCATAATTATGCCTACAGGCAGACACGATGACACGATGCAATCCTATGTCCTCAGCTATGGACATTGAACAAATCCTGATTGCAATATGTCTATCCTTTGCGTCAAAAATACTCACGGCAACAAAAGGTGTGCGTAAAATATTTTGGACATTCGTTGTGCTTGATGGGTAACTGAGAAACGGGGAACTCGTCATTATTTTTTCAAATAGACGAAACAGCTGATTTTATTCATTCACAAACAAATTTAATCAACCAGAACCTAAGGCGTCTACTACACGAGTGTACATGGCTTGTTTACAAAATAGTTCATAATACTATACTATTTTTAGGCACACGTGTCTTGCACGTACGTGCAATATGAGGGTAGTGTGTGCGTGTGTGTGTGTGTGTGTGTGTGTGTGTTTGCATATGTCGACTGTTTGTGTGCATGAGTGAAAGATAGAGAAAGACAGACAGATTAGTGTGTGCTGGTAAAAGGCAAGATATGTAGTGGGCTTGCCATAAAACTTTAAAATATTAGCAAATTTCATAAATCTGGTCCTTTTCAACCGTCATTGTTTACCTTGTATTGATTATCATGCAAACATATCAAAATATGCATAAAATATTACACAGTGCTGATCCTAAAAACTAATACATTTTAGATGTACGTGTCACGCTTTTTATTTCAAAAGGACAAAGGCTTTATGCAGACACCTGTTGATTTAGAAGCTACGTCATTCGATAACTTGATTAGCAAAGAGAAGTTGGTGACAACATAACATGTTCTTATTTGTTATTTTTGTACTTGTTTAAATAAATATATCGCTATTACTGTTTAATCAGTAAGTAGTTTGTTCTATTGTGGAATGTAAATTATATCAATAGTGATATAGATTTATGCTTGCTTTCTGTATTGTTATCAATGGAAGAGAAAATTTAACTTGTCAGTAGTTTACCCCTAGTTATTTTGATGGAAATGAAAATTTTGTTTGCCAATGTAATGCATGTGTATTTTTATGTAAAATTATTATTCTCATGAAAATTTAGTGTGGCCATAGCATAGAACATCTTTTAAAATGAAAATATGTGCTTTGTTCTAAGACTGAAAAATTTTAAATTGTAATTATATTCTGTTTTATAATCATGCTCCGTTGCATGCTTATTTATGTTTTAGTTTATTTACCAAACTGACATTTTGATTTAGTTGGACTTTATAAAAAAAAGCGTGTGATATATTTAACGTGGCAGAGTGTGCCACTTTGATTTGTTTTTCTCTCCCACACCCTAATAAAAAGTATACTGCCGACGTCAGTGTACTGGAAAACAGTTTCAAACAGACACTTTTGTTTTGCATATCGAGGCGACTGAAATATATGTTGGCTATCCACAAATTGTTTTCTCACGTCTTCCTGCCACCTCTGAGACGGAAGCAGTGGTAAATAAAGCATGTGATTCCCATTTTCCAGCCAATTAATATTCATTGTCTGACAGTGTTTTGATAAAATGTGCGCAGACATATCAGACAATGAGAGGCAGCAACATGAAATGTCAGTAAACACCTTTGGTCAGTCTATTTAGAATCTAGTTTGAGACAGAATGTTGAAAATTGTTCTGTACGTGGGAGAGCTATTTGATAAAGAATGCCACCAAAATGTGACGTAATGATAAAAATAAATCCTGTTTTATTACTTATTAAATAGTCAAAAGAATTAAATACTGTACATTGTGGAATCAGTAATTGTTGCCGCCTGCTTTACTACCTGCCTACATCGGGACTTAGATGACGCCATAGTCTGGTTCCAGGCTTTATATGTTCCATGCTATCAGCCCTGCATCAAATGGTTGACTTAGACTCAGAGAATAAGCTGAGACCAATTTGGCACAGTAGAAGCAATGACATAAAAGTGTCCTAAATGATTAATAAATAATGGAAACAAAGAGGAATATATGCGTTAAGTAACGTGAGCTGATTAGCCAATTTGCTT